CCAGTCTACAACAGGATCCCCTTTTTCACTGAGCCGAAGAGGCTGGCTGAATCAACTCAACTCATTTCGATGCTTTGAAGTGAAGCTACAATCTACAATCCAGCCAGCATGACCATCCAGATACAGAAAATAATTGAATGATGCAGGGCCTCTGCTGTCTGATCACCATATTGCCACTAATGTGACTCACCTGTGCACAGAAAGATGATCTTCTGAGTTTAGAATAGAATAAGCTGGAAGGGACCATGGAGGTATTCTAGTCCAACCCCCTGCTCAAGTAGGAGACTCTATACCTGGGGTGTCAAACTCACAGTATCACGTTATCATCACATGACATGTCATGACTTTCCCTCCTTCGCTAAACCAGAGGTGGGCGTGGCCAGCATGTGATACATCCGGCTCACGGGATGCAATTTTGACACCTTTGCTCTACACCATTTTAGACAAGTATCTATCCAGTCTTTTCTTAAAAACTTCCAGTGATGAAGCCCCCACAACTTCTGTAGGCAAGCCATTCCACTGGTTAAATTGTTTTCACTGTTAGGAAATTTCTCCTTAGTTCTATATTGTTTCTCTCTTTAATTAATTCCACCCATTGCTTCTTGTCTTGTCTTCAGGTGCTTTGGAAAATAGGTTGACCTCCTCTTCTTTGTGACAACCCCTCAAATACTGGAACACTACTATCATGTCATCCCTATTCCTTCTCTTCGTTAGATTAGACTACAACTGTTCTTCATATGTTTTAGTCTCCAGACTTTTAATCATTTTAGTTTCTCTTCTCTTCACTTTTTCCAAACATCTTTTTTGTAATATGGTGACCAAAACTGGATCTACGGACCTTAAGCTACAGAACTTACTGGTATTTTATAGTGGTCTCCATAACCATTTTTTTCTTGACAATATTTGTGACGTCTTTTCACTATTAAAAATACAATTCCAAAGTTTGGAATCGATCAAAATTAAAAACACCAAAACTTGTAAAGTTAGGGCTGACTAAAACTGCTTTATGGAAAACATAAAGCAGCAGCAACAACTAACTGAAGGATGCTCAAATCCACTATATATTATTGATACATTTTTCTTTAGTAAACATAAAAAACTCAATATGTATATGAACAGCGTGTTGTCTGAGTACAGTTAGTTTTGAACAACAAAAAGATGATAAGCATAACTGTCAGAGTATTTGCAGCATATTCTGACTAGCACACAAGTAAATAATTCTGCAGGATTCATCTACATAAGAAACTTCTTTATATAAAATACCATACACCAGAAGGCAGCATACAAATTCAGGAACACAGAAGCAATATTCACAGAAGCAACAGAATAGGGAGATACAGAAGGCCTAGATTTACAGAGGCCTAGATTTACAGAGACCCAAAAGTTACAGAGGACAAACCAATTCTTATATACAGTTCAGCAAGTCAAAGCCACTCCCAGACTTCAACTGTCTCTTATGGCCCTATACAAAGCAAATACTATGTTTCAGTATCCAAACAGTCCCCATTGGCCTGTTCACATGTCTATTCCAGTTCACGAACTATATACACTGACAATAATGGTAATCATAATATACTTATCATTGGCTTGTCTATACTAGAAAGCTTTCCTTATATAATTAATCATTATCTTAATCTCTTTAATTTCTAACCTCTGTTTCTGTTAGTTAACCATTGGTAAAACAGGTCCCATGTTAAAAAGTATTCAGTTTCTTCCTTGTCCTTTATTTTTAGTGTTAATCTGTCCATCTCTGTGCATTCTAATATTTTTTAATAATATTTTCATATAAAGCAGGGGTGTCAAACTCAAGGCCCACGTGGTGCTTAGATCTGGCGTGCGGGGCCGCCCTGGAAACAGTGAAGGACTGACCCATGGTGCCTCTGCCATTGAAAATGGAGCTCAAGAGGGTTGCACGTGGCACTCCCGAGCTCCATTTTCGCTGGCAGAAGGTTGCAGGAGGCTATCGCAGCCAAAAATGGAGCTCAGGAGCCTGTGTTTGCTAGCAGAGCACTCGGGCCGTCTTAAACACCCCTCCCTGACACAAGTGACATCATGCTGGCCATGCTCCCCTGCCCCCTGAGGTCAAACACAACCCTGATGCAGCCCTCAATGAAATCGAGTTTGACACCCCTGATCTAAAACGGATCTCTTCATTTTTCCACTGTTGTGCAAAAACAATTCTTACTGCCATTAGCAGATGTAAAATTAAGTATATATTCCCTTTATTATATTATTCTGGTAAAATACCCAACAAAATATTTCTGGTTTAAAATCAATGTGTTGCTTTATCATTTTTTTCTAACCATGTATGTATTTTGGTCCATTTTTTTTTTGCTTTTGGACATGTCTATCACATATGATAATACGAACGCTAATACTAATGACCAGGGGTGGGTTTCTACTGGTGCTGTCCACCTCTGTAGAACCGGTAGCTCTGAAGAGCAGCAGACATAGAACCGGTTCTATGTCTGCTGATGTTTTTGCCCACAGCCCACCTGGGCTCTTACCTGACCTTTATTTCCTGATTTTTTTTTCAACTTCAGCTGCCATGCTAGGCACAGCTACAGTTAAAAAAGCAGGAAAAGAGGGCTTTTTGAAAGGCTGCTTCTCTGCACGCAGCATGCTGATGATGATTTACAGGCACACGGCTGGCAGCGTGCAGGGAAGCACATCGTAAATGACCGAACCTCGTAAATGACCAAACTGGTAGTTAACCCTGTCGGATCCCACCCCTGCTGATGACATTTCCAACATTTGGTAGAATGGGAGTTTCCAGCCATTCCTAAAGTTGCAAGGTTTGTAGTTGATCAGGGAAGGAATGATGCAAAGCAGGACTATCAAAAGTTGTCTGAAAACAAGTTTCTTGGAAAACTTGCCCCATCAGGGAACATACATATGGCACTGTCCATAGTGCCATTTAAACCTGGTTGTTTTCTTACAGATTCTTTATTAGATAACTAGATAACATCAGTGCAACTGGCTGTGTTTTGCTCCTTGATATTTCCTTGATTAGAGAACTACCTAATTAGGAAGGTACTTGATAAAGGAACTTTAGCTGTGGAGTCCTTGGTGCTATTTGAACTAGTTATTTGCTTGCAGAAGTTTATTACCTAATTAGTGTTAGTCAATTTTGAATTTGTTCTCTCTTTATATACACTAGCTTGGCTGGCAAGTGTTGGTGGCAGTTTGCTTTTCTTCTTGATAGGTCCTTGATTATGTATTGATTGATTAAGGAAGGAAAAGAGCTCTAAAAAAATGAAATGTCTGAAATACTCCTGGCAGGGATCAAAACTTTTGAAAAAGGGAAAATTCCATGTGGGCTGGTTCATGGCTTTCATCCAAACACCACATTGTGCTGTTGCAGAATTCCATTTTGTTGTGCATCTGTATGATATCACAATGCTCATGCAGCTCATTCAGTCCTTTATATCCCCCTTGCAAGGCCCTGTGGTTGCAAATTAAAGCTCCTTGTCTCTGGCCTCTAGCAAAGGATAACTCACCATGTATTTCATATATATATATCCTTTGCTAGAGGCCAGAGACAAGATGCTTCCCTGGGTTTGGTTGCAAATTGCAATCACATGTCTACAGGATGTTACAAACTTTCTAAATGTGAGTTGGTTGCCAAGCGTCCAAATTGTGATCATGTGACTGTGGAGTGATAGTCATGAGTTCAAGGATGGGTGATAAGTCACTTTTTCCAAGGCAGTCATTGTTAAGTATTCCCAAATATGGCCATAGAGTGGAGTCGGCTAGCAGACTCCACTCATTGGCCCAGCTACTGGTGGGAGAAATAAAGTCCCGTCAGTGGCTGAAGCTTTGGACAGCGCCGGCTACAAAAGCTGGCGACTGCCGCGGCTGAGCGGCTTTTTACTTAAACTTAAATAGAGAGTTTTACCTGTTCCTGCCGCGTCCTGCCTCTTTACTCCGCAGACCCCCTTAACTTTGATTCATTGTAAATCAACGATCATAAGTTGAGGACAACCTGTATTCTGTTTTGTGAAAAAATGAAACAAGAAACAAAAGCATACAAGATATATATCTACAAATGTACTATATCAATGAATTGAAGTCATAATTCATTACAGTTATCTGATCTATATTAGTTAATTCAGCAAACCACAGAATTGTTGAAGTCATAAGTTTATCTTTCCAATCAATGCTGAACAATATGTTTTTTGAGCATGTCTATTTTCTTTCTCCAGGAGTCAACTCCCATGTGATAAACTTCAAAAGAATATAAACACCTGAAAATATTTAATCCTGAATGAATCCATGCAATTGCTTCTTACTGAAATGGGGCAATATATCTAAAAGATTACTTTCATTACACCATCAACCACCAAAATAGAGTGAGGTCATTTCTGAAACACTGTTCTCTCGAAAAAGATGTAATCTAAAAACCTTTATTTAAGTAACTTTTTAAAAGAAGCAAACAAAAAGATGCATATATATACTTAAAGCATTTTGAGAAAAAATAAAAAAGCAAACAAATCAAATACATTACATAATATTTGCCAGTTTGCAAATCCATCTATTAAGCACATTCTGAATGTGTTGCTTATTTGCACTAAGGTGTGTGTGTGTGTGTGTACTGTTATGTTATTGTCTCTGCGTGCACGTGTATCTCATGTGTTACATAATATGTAATACTGTATGCAATATAATATATACAATATACAATAAATTCAAAATATAATATATAGATAGCACGCAACGTAACAGGCATATAGATATAGATATAGTAAGCCAATACTCTATTCCTCTTGCAGGTTTTACTTCTAAGCCAGAGGGGGCGCTCGCTCGGCCTGAAACAGCCGGAAGTCCCTGTCCTGAGGACGATCTAGGCATCGTGCCCACCGTCACCAACTTCCGCTTCCACTCCTGCACAGGCCTCCTCGAGTCCCCTCCGATTGGTTTATTCCCTCCTCCCCCTACCGGGATTTGCTAGCTTTCCCATCCCCCCGCCCCTTCCTGCGCCGCCTTTGCACCGCCTCCGTCCCACGGGAGGCTGCTCTTGCTGGGTCTGTTCCTCTCCGGCCCCGGTGGGGAATCGCCGGGCGCTCTTTGTCCTGGAAAGGCCAAAGAGGGCGCGAGTGATCGGCGTGGCGGGGGACGGAAGGGGGATCAGGCGAAACAGGTACGTGCGAAACGGGTGTATGTGGCCAGGGAGATGCGTGTTGGGTCTCTCCGGGCGCTATGAGGCTGGTCCCGCTGCGGTTTCGACACGGGGTTGTGTCTGCTGGGCATGCCTAGAATACATCACCCTCTCTAATAATATAGGTAGTCGTCGACTTACAACAGTTCGTTTAGTGACTGAACAGCACTGAAAAAAATGACATGACCATTTTTCACACTTACGACTGTTACAGCATCCCCAGGGTCACACGATTTACATTCGGATGCTTGGCAACTGAAACACCCTTATGAGGGTTGCAATGTCACGTGGTCCCCTTTTGTGACCTTCTGACCAGCAAAGTCAAACTAACTTAAGAACTGCATTTATTTTCATTTAACAAATGTGAGAAAAGTGGGGCAAAACTTGCTTAACAAATTTCTTACTTAGCAACATAATTTTTGGGCTCGATTATGGTTGTATGTTGAGGACCACCGTACCTATAGTGTTTTCCAAATCTGGCCGTTTTAAGATGGGCAGACGCCACTCCCAGAATTCCTCAGCCAAGCACTGAATTTTGATCTTATCACCATGGGGATGCCACAATGGTCGTAAGTGTGAAAACCGGCCATAGGTCATGTTTTTCACATCTATTGTAAGTTTGAACAGTCATTAAATGAAGGGTTGTAAGTTGAGGACCATTTGTAGAGCACTTGGGAATTAGTTGGTGAGAGATTTATTTGTGGCTGGTTTCCTTTCTGTAGATCTGTAGCACCGGATTCTAGGAAGCTGAAGAAGGGCAGAGCTTCAACAACATGGCTAGCAAGCCCAGAAATCAAAAGCCAGGATGGAAACTGGCAGCCAAGGCATCTCAGTTGAAGAGACCACGGAATGTTGTTCCTTGGCAAAGCAAGGCCGAATGGGATCAAGTGATGGTGGGGCTGTATTGTGAGGACTGCCAGACGCAACGAGATGCCCTGGACAGAGTGTCTGTCTGGAAGAGCAGGTGAGAAGGAAAGTGGACAGAAAACAGCTGCCACCATTGAGGGGTTTGTTTTCACTCAGCACCGTAGGATGGGTCAATTACCCAATGGTTCTGTTTGCATATGTATATTAAACATTTACAATTGGTTGAGATAAGCTTTTGTGGTTAGCATTTTGTATGAATCCCAAACGTGGGTTCGTTCCTTAATTAAGTGATACAACTGGTATATCTGGGGAGCAAGGAGAGAGATGAGAGTGGGGAGGACCAGTTCATATCTTGCATTTACAAGCAATCATTTGAAGGCAAATTTATATGGGGAGGAGTTTTTGAGATAGTAGCCTGAATTTTGAATTAGAAACTCATCCCACCCCTTTGAGCAGTTCTCTCCAACCTTTTTGTAAAGTGTTTTTCAAACTTGGCAACATTTGGCTGAGGAATTTCGAGAGTTGAAGTCCGCACACTTTAAAGTTGCCATGGTAGAAAACCACTGTTTTAGTACATTATTCTTCAACATTTTTCTTTCAGCTGCATCAGTAATAGTCCTTACCTCAGGTAGTCCTCAACTTACCATAGCATTTCGTTTCTGAGTGAGGTGGTTGTTAAGTGAGTTTTGCCCCATTTTATGACCTGTCCTGCCACAGTTGTAAAGTGATTTGCCGCAGTTGTTAAATTATAGTCACATGGTTGTTAAGTGAATCTGGCTTCCCCATTGACTTTGCTCATGAGAAGGTCGTAAAAAGTGACCACATGGCCCCATGTCACTACACCCATCATAAATAAGAGCCAGTTGCCAAGCATCTGAATTATGATCACGTGACCACGAGATGCTGCAACGGTTGTGGTCATAAGTCATTTTTTTCAGTGCTGTTGTAACTTTGATAACGAAATGAAAGGTTGTAAGTCAGGGACTAACTGTAATAGGTATTCAAGGATTCCATGTCAAGGTCACTTATTTGCCAGATGTATTCAATTTTGTAAATATTTTTCCCCTTAGAAGCTCTTTACATATTAATTTTGGGTACAGAGAAATCCAGTGAATTCCTGATCATTGCAGAGAACTTGGGGGTTTACTGGTTGTTGTTCAGCACTATTGTGGACCACTGGCTCCCAAAATGAGTTCAGTATGTCTAAGAATGCCCTTCATCTCTGCTGCAGAAACTCTCTCAGAAACACTGAACTTCCACAGTTGATGTTCTCCTTAAGGATGCTTGTAATCTCAAAAGTGTTCTAGATCTTCAGTAGAAGGGACATAAATCACTGGATGGAAAAGATCATAATGTCACTGTGTTTAACTCTGAAATTAGGTTTGGGTCCAAGATGCCTTTAGCTGTGGAATGCACTGCAGACCTGATCCGTTGTAAGCTCCTAGATGCCTCTGGAGTTCTGAAATCCCACGAACTGATCTTGACCTATGGCCTGGCACTGGTGAGGTAAGGGTTGTGAGAACGAGGGAACAAGCTCCTTACAGAAGCTGCTGTGCAAGGTTTATTATAGAGTCTAGGGAAGAGATAGAGTTGCATTTTACAAAAAGCTTTTTTCTACCTCTAATGAAAACAGCTTCTGAATTCTGAAAGTTTTTATTTAAAGACACTCTTGAAAACTTTGAGCAAAGAACACCTTGAAAAACAATAGGAATCTATGCGGGTTCTTCAAACCCAGTCTTTTTTCTGCTAGTAAATGTTGTTGACAATGAACTCCGTATGAAGTAAGTGAGCATACCACTTGCTTCAGGTGGTAGCTGAATTGTTTATTCTGCATTGTTCTGAATATTACTATATTGCTTTTCTCTGGGCAGCTCCCAAAACTGTTTTGAAACATACATGAAAAGGAAGACTCAAAGATGACAAGAACTGAACGAAAAAGAAACAAATCCACACTATCTAGTGTAAGAGGCTTCATTCTTGCCAAAGCCCTGGATAAAGAATCAGATCTTCAAGCCCCTTTCAAAACATCAAAGAATGGGACCATCAGATCTTGGGGAAAGCCCCATGCTTCTGGGGTCCCCAAGAATTGACATTGTTTAAATGAAGAAACTCAAATACTTTGGCCACCTAATGAGAACGAAGGACTCACTGGTGAAGAGCCTAATGCTGGGAACGATTGAGGGCAAAAGAAGAAGGGACAGCAGAGAATGAGGTGGCTGGATGGAGTCACTGAAGCAACCAGTGTGAGCTTAAATGGACTCTGAGGGATGGTAGAGGACAGGAACGCCTAAAGAAACGTTGTCCATGGGGTCATGATGGGTTGGACACAACTTCGCGACTAACAACAACAAAGTGAAGAAACCTGGAGCACGCCAACACTGCCAATTCAAATCAGCAAAACAGATACTATGGGAGACAGGCAGCCCCTCAAGTAACCAGCTCCTCTGCTATGGGTCATATTGATTTCAAGATAGCGGAGGGGATAAGGGCACAATTGGAATATGTTGCATATCTTTTAGTTGTTATAGAAGTAATATAAGAAAAAAAAAGGTCTCTGGAGGGGGTGCATTGTAATATTTGTATTTTCCTCTTTTTTGTATTTAGATTTATATTTGTATTAGTATTCAAAATAAAAATATTATTTAAAAAAGAAAAAAAGAAAGTGGCTGAAGACTGGGAGGATTCTTCTTTCTGGGTTTGATTCAGTTTCAAATGACATTCTCAAACAAAAGTTGTTTCCCTGAAATCATTCAATACTTCTATCACCCACAGGTTTTTGAATCTCATCACCGAGCGGAAGCAGAAGAAGATTACCATTCCACTGAGGCATCTAGCAAAGGAGGTAAAAGGTTTGAGTTTATTAAGCTCTGGGAACTGTGAAATAATTGCATTGATTCCATCTCTGATTTTAATAATGGTTTGGTTCTTGCTCCAAGCTGAACATCCCCACCTGGATTGTTGATCTCCGTCATGACCTAACCCATGGCACCCTTCCCCAGCTGGTGACTTGCCGAAAAGGTAAGAGGATTATTTTTTTATTCCAATGAAGTTGGTGAAATTCCACATGGTGGTGCAGTGGTTAGAATGCAGTTATTGCAGGCTAACTGCCCACTGCCAAGAGTTCGATCCTGACTGGCTCAAGATTGACTCATACTTCCATCCTTCTGAGGTTGGTAAAATGAGGACCCAGCTTGCTGGATAGCTGTAAACAGAGGACTGGAAGTTGTCACTCTAGAAATCTTGAGATTTCAAAATGTAGTGGAAAATAAGGAGGAAGACCTATCAAAGATTATGATAGAATTACTAGCCGACACCATCCAAAAAAGCAAGCAGGAAATTCAAGATGACACAGATGAAGTCTATAGACTCCACCCAAACTATGCAAGGCGACACAAACTACCAAGGCATGTGAGGTTAGCTAGGAAAATGACAAGAGATGAAATATATAGGACAAGGGATGAATCCATGATCTACAAAGGAAAAGAGATTATAACCCTAAAACAAAGAAGAATTTGGGAACAAAGAAGACACTATCACTTCCTTTCATCGCAACTGGTCAAGTATAAGGTGCTCTTCAGATGGCTCATTGCGGAAAGTGTGCTGATTACGTGGCAAGGTAAGAAATTCAAAACTGATATCCTGGACAAAGCGCAGGAGGTTTATGAGCACCATTTAGCTGTAGAGGAAGAACTAGACAGCAAAGATGAGATAGAAAATAAGAACAGAAATTAGAAGGGAAAGAATCAGACCAAGACATGAGAGGACAGTCGGAAATGGAATGTTTGGAAAGAGAAGGCGTGAAAACAAGAACACACAGAGAAACAAGGACAAACAGAGGACTGAGAACTACACATAAACGATAAAATGGAGGAAGAAATTAAAGATGTTATCAATCAACATCAATGGAATGAACTCACCAGCAAAAAGAAAACAAATATTAGTAAGACTACAAAAACAGAATATGGATACTATATGTCTACAAGCAACATGGTAGTATTTTAGAATACCCCAAAATTGAGAAACTCCATCTGTCCCTTGCTCAACAAAAGAAGAGAGGTATAGCGATATATATATAAAAGAGTGGTTGAGCCCGAAGCAAATCTAAACTGATGATGGAAAACTGATTGAAATAACAACAAATTAAAAACAAATGTTGCTTATGGTAATATGTGTGCCAAATAACAATCAGAAGGACTTTTACCACAAACTACACTGGAAAATAATAGAGATAGAAAATGAAAATATATGCCTAATAGGAGATTTTAATAAGAAGAGCTTTGCCAAATACATTCTTCGAGATGACGCAAGAACTTAATTTACAGGATACATGGAGATAACTAAATCCAAAGAAGAACCAATATACTTTTTTTAAAAAACACTATAACTCTTGTCAAGAATTGGATCATAGTCCCCTAAAAGTGAAATGGAAGGGACAGGGAAAGAGAAGAAGGTGGACTTTAAACCAAAGAGTTCTAAAGGAAAAAAAACTATGTGCAAATGATGGGAAAAGAATTGGAATTATTTCTTAAAGAAAACAAAAAAGAACAAACAACATTGCAAAATTTGTGGGATACGACTAAAGCATATATTCGGGGTTTAATGATAGCATATGTGGCACAAAGGAATAAGGAAAAGAGGAAACAACAAACGATACTGCAGGAAGAGCTTAAAAATTGGAACTCGTGTTACAAAACGAACCCCAAAATGATAAAGGAGAAAGAGACTTAATAAAACACAAAATTTAATGACACAAGAAGAAAGGGCACAAAATCTCAAAATGGCAAAATATGGCTTCTATACGGAACAAGAAGAGCTTGATAAAATAATACAGTGGGTGAGGAAAAACGATAACTAAAGCATAGAATTACTTCCTGAGATTTAAAATGAAAGAAGAAATGGTCAAGGAAACTATGATAATTTGGGCAAAAAAGTTTGGCTACAATATTGAATTAGAATACTGGGCAAAATTGTGGGGGGAAAAATATAAATTAACTACGTTGGCAACCTATAAAGAAAATGTATATAAAATGTTTTATCGTTGGCATTTACCCCCAGCAACATTAGCGAAAATGTTCCCAAATAGATTGGCAGAATGTTGGAGATGTAAGCATAAACAAGATACATTTTTTAATATGTGGTGGATATGCATAGAAGCCAGGAAATACTGGAGTAAAATAAGAAAATGGCTAGAGGAAGTTATGAAACAAAAGATCAAGTTGAAACCGGAATTATTTCTACTAGGTATAATAAAAGGAAACTTAAGTAAGAAAATTCAGTATATTATACTCCACATAACAACTGTGGCTAGAACTGTCTGTGCACAAAATTGAAAACAGGACAACACTCCCTCAGAGGGTGTGGTGATAAAAAAGGTGCTTGACTATGTAGAGATGCTTAGACTAACTATTAAAAGACAAAGAAACTGAATACTATATGATCTGGGACTTATGGTATGAATGGTTAGAGAATGGATCTAAAGATTATACATAAGAGGTATAGTAAGATGAAAGGGAAATATATGTATTTGTATCTGTGAAAAGATAAAATATATATGTAAGAGTATAGATATAAAAACAACAACATATATATAGTGGAAAGGAAGAGAAATGAATATACTATTATGTCATTATGACTGATATCGATACTGAAGCGCTGTAAAAATTGGAAATGTGGTGTAAATGATGAAATATGCTTAATAAAAATATTTTTTTAAAAATGGGGACCCAGCTTGTTGGGGGCAATATGCTGACATTGCACACTGCCCAGAGAGTGCTGTAAAGCACTATGGAACCGTATATAAGTCTAAATGCTATTGCTAGTACTATTGGTCAGGTAATTGCAAATAGCCAAGCTCAAAGAGCACCAAGGAGACCACTGTTCAACCTGGAGCTGCATATAAATAGTCCTTGACTTACGACCACAATTGAGCCCAAAATTACCATTGCTAAACAAGAAAGTTGTTAAGTGAGCTTTGCCCCAATTTACAGCCTTGCCACAGTTGTTAAGTGAATCACTGCAATTGTTAAGTTAGTAAAATGGTTTTAAATGATTCTGGCTTCCCCATTGACTTCACAAGACCCTGGGACACTGGAACTGTCATAAATATAAGTCAGTTGCCAAGTGTTAAAATTTTGATCACATGACCATAGGGTTGCTGCAATAGTTATAAGTGTGAAAAACAGTCAAGTCACTTTTTTCAGTGCCATTGTAGCTTCAAATAGTCACTAAACCAACACAATTATCAAATTTGTGGATGACACAAAAGCGGTTGGGCTCATTAATAAGAACAATAAGTGTGCTTATAGAAAGGAAGCACAAGGGCTGACACAGTGGTGTAAAGAAAATAATCTCACACTTAACACCAAAAAAACTAAAGAACTTATAATTGACTTCAGGAGGAAGAGGGATGTACATTTGCCATTGTACATAAATGGTGAGGAGGTGGAGAGGGTAGTTTAAATTTCTGGGCATTTATATCTCGGAGACCTCATGGACTATAAATGCTAACATGCTTGTAAAGAAGGCACAGAAGAGTTTGTTCTTCCTGAGAATGCTC